AGGCTGGGTGTGGTGGCTCACGCCTGTAATACTAGCACTCTGAGAGGCCGAGGAGGGAGGATCACTAAAAGTCAGGAGTTCGAAACCAGCCTGAGCAGGAGCGTGACCCCATCTCTACTAAAAATAGAAAGAAATTAATTGGACAACTAAAAATATATAGAAAAAATTAGCCAGGCATGGTGGCACATGCCTGTAGTCCCAGCTACTCGGGAGGCTGAGGCAGAAGGATGGCTTGAGCCCAGGAGTTTGAGGTTGCTGTGAGCTAGGCTGACGCTGTGGCACTTTAGCCGGGGCAACAGAGTGAGACTTTGTCCCAAAATAAAATAAAATAAAATAAAATAAAATAAAATAAAATAAAATAATGATTCACTCTACTCATTCCTGATTCTGTGGTATAGATACCACTAGTGAAGTTCACCCTGCTGAGTTAAAAAAATTTATGGACAAGAAGTGATCATTGAAATTAAAATGCGGCAGACATGCCCAGGGAATATTGCGGGGACTTGATCCCTTTATGAAGCTTGTGATAGTTGAATGTATGGAGATGGCAACTAGTGGGCAACAGAACAATACTGGCATGGTGCTAATACGAGGAAATAGTATCATCGTGTTAGAAGCGTTGGAAGGAGTGTAAATAACGGCTGTTCAGCAGGAAGATCCCCATCCCCTCTCCAAAGGGCCTGTTTTACTATGATGTCAAAATCAGGTCATGTACATTTTCATATTAAACTTTCTGTTAAATAAAAAATAAATAATTATTCACTAATTAAAAAATGGAAACAGGTGCCATGACCTTCTAATGATGCAAACCTTCTGGAATATCTCCCTCCCTGGTGGGAAAAGCTGGTAGAAAATAGTGGAGACAGACTTGGGTCTGACTCCTGTCTCTACCATTTTATTTATCTGTTGTGTCTGAGCCTCAGTGGCCTCATCTGTCAAATGGGTATATTAAGGTTGGCCCCCTGGAAGGGAGGAGGACTAGAGAATGGGGATGAAGCTCCCTCCTGGCCTCCCTCGTTCTCAGCAGGCTCCACCCCTCTGCTTCCAGCTCCATCCGATTTCCCAGGACACAGGCACAGCAGGACTCTGCATTTTGGCAGAGGCAACACCATGAACGTGAATGCAGCTGTGGTTCTCAAAGAGGAACTCAGGGGCGGCCTCAACCCCCAGGGAGGCAGGGGAGCCCCTGAAGGGGGATGCTGGGAGGGCCTGCCTCTGACTCACTGTGTGAGGAGAAGATCGGAGGCCTCCCCTCCAGGCAGGGGGAGCAGGTGGGAAGGAAAGAAGAAGCCACAATGCTCACCGGATGTCCACCCACAAAGTCACTTCTGCCTTGGTGACACAGTAAAGACAACACATGCTCCCTGTTTGGATGGGATCCCCCGGCTGCTGGGCATCCTCCCTCCCTGCCTGGCCCCAGTCCTGCCCTGCGGTTCCTCCCCTATAATCTGCCCACTGTCTCCCCTTGTCTGTCATTTTCTCTCCTTGGTATTTGGGGTCTTTGCTGCATGGGGCAGAGTCAGGATAGACTCTTTTTTCCCCCAGGAGATGGTGATTTTTTCTTTTCTTTCTTTCTTTTTTTTTTTTTTGAGACACAGTCTTACTTTGTTGCCCAGGCTAGAGTGAATGCTGTGGCGTCAGCCTAGCTCACAGCAACCTCAAACTCCTGGGGTCAAGCAATCCTGCTGCCTCAGCCTCCCGAGTAGCTGGGACTACAGGCATGCGCCACCATGCCCGGCTAATTTTTTCTATATATATTAGCTGGCCAATTAATTTCTTTCTATTTATAGTAGAGATGGGGCCTCACTCTTGTTCAGGCTGGTTTCGAACTCCTGACCTCGAGTGATCCACCTGCCTCGGCCTCCCAGAGTGCTAGGATTACAGGCATGAGCCACCCCACTGAGCTCCCCCAGGAGATGGAAGGAAGAGGGATCAGTTTTGTCCTCTGCTGGGCTCTGCTGGAAGAAGGCTGACACCTGATCCTAGCCGCCTTGCTCCTCTGGGTGATCCCGCAGCTTCGCTGGGAGCTGAGCGCCCCGGCAGTGCCTGGTTCCCACTCTGTCCCTTACTCTCCCTAGACCTCAGCTGCCTTGTTTACAGCTTGAGCAGAGAAGAGAAATGCCTTTCCAGGACCGAGGCCAGGATTAAATAGGATTATACCGGTGACAGCCCTGAGCACAGGCCTGGAAGATCTGCCAGAGATAACGGTGGAAACAGGGAGTCGCCTGGGCCAAGGGTTGGGGACTAGGGGCTTGGCACAGGGGAGACAATGGAAGGACTGTTGGATTGGACGGTCCAGTTTGGGGAGGGGAGCGAAGCCTGCCATATTCATCTTCTGTGCCCCCTTCTCAGCCCCAGCACAGGTTCTCAGGCTGTCCATGCTGTGGCATCTGAAACACAGCACTGCGGTGACACAGTAAAAACAGCAACAACAGTGACAGTTCCTGGAGCCTGGGCTGCATGGTGGGGCCTGCGAGGCACTCTGCACGCCCCTTCTCCTATTGGATTCTCAGCCCTACAGCATGGGGTTAGACACAGACCGACCTGGGGTTGGGGGCTTTGCCACAGGCCACCAGTCTTGTGGCCTTGGGCAAGGTGTTAAGCCTGTGTGAGCTGCAGTTTCTCACCTCACAAATGTGGGCAGATAGCATCTCCCTGCAGGCTGTTGTGGGGATTGAAGGAGGGAAGTTCACAGAGCTTGAGTGCATAGCAAATGCTCCATCAGTGTTAACTTAAGAGAAAAACAAGCCCCCTTTGAGGCAGGTTGGAGATGCGATTATAGCTTCATTTTTATTTTTTTATTTTTTATTTTTTTATTTTTTTCTTTTCACTCAGAACAATCTCCAGGATATAGCTTCATTTTTAGAGTTGAAGAAACTGAGGTTTGGAAAAGTGATGTGACTCGCCCAAGGTCACCTGACTAATTGGTGAGGGAGACCTGGGGCTCCCACGTGACTCCACATGATTGGGATTGGGGCACCAGCTCCAAGCTCAGCTCATGTGGGCTCCACTGCTCCTTGGCCACATGACGCTGAGCAAGTCAGTATTGCTGCTGAGCCTCGCTTTTCCTTATCTGTGAGATAGAGCTGCCTGTCTCCCTTCAAAGGGGGCCTTTTGTGTCTCCTGGCTCGGGGACTTTTTGCAGGGGTGCAGGTAGGAGGCAGAGCTAGTTGGAGACACCCCTTCTTCCTGTCCTTTGTGAGAACCTGAGCTCAGCGAGTGAGGTTAGCCCAGGTGGGTAGGAGGAGGACAGCGTGCGCCTGCCATCCACAGCTGAGGACAGAGGAGAGATTGCCCCAGACTGGGAGGGGACCAGAGATCACGGGGGCCCGGGCTGTGCTCCCTGGGGAGGTGGCAGGAGCTCTAGGGGAAGTCTCCGGGTGGCCTGCAAGGCACGGTGGTTTCAAGTCGTGGCAAAGAATCTGGGCTCCAGGCATGCCAGGGAAGGGGACAAGGCTGGCCTTTGGGGGATCAAGCCTGTTTGGACAATGGTCATCCATCGTAGCAGGACCAGGGTGGCCCCAGGGCCAGGAGCCTCCCTCACACTCACGATCCGTGTGTGACCCCAGGGGCGATGTAGGGTGCTGGGAGGAGGGGGTGGAATTGAGGGAAGCTCAGAGCACATCGAGATTCAATTTCCTACGAGCCCAGTAGGATGAGGACTCAGAGTCCTGCTGAAGGTGACTAAATCAGAATACACAGAAGAACACTGTGCACAGGCGAGGGTGTGCAGTAAGAGGAGCAGGCGCGGCGACAGGAGGAGGGAGGACGAGAGGCTGGTGCTGGAGGGCTCTGCTCGGCTGGGCCCAGCTGTGCGCCCACCGCCACTGCCTTAGCCTGGCCGAGAGAGGCCAACGCGTACAGGATGCGCTTCACTGGGCCCAGGGCAGGTTGGGGGCCACCTCCTTCGAGCCACAGGTGGTTACAGAGCTGGGGCCAGGGTCACTGGGGTACTACCTCCCCGGATGTCTCCCCAGCCCCTCCTCGGCCTCAGTCCTGGCCTTTACCCCCCCAAAGTGTCCATATGCCACTCACTCTAGGGGAGAACAGCCCACAGCCCTGTTTGATCCACAGTTCTGTGCACGGCAAGGGCAGATGGGGTGCGGGTCAAGCTCTTTCACAGCCATTCATTGGACCCAGAGCCGGTACCTGTCCCTGTGCTACATCATTCAGTTGACCCTCATGGCAAGCTCAGGACCCTACATCTCAGTGGAGGGTGCTGAGCGGGAGAGTAGAGTGCCTTGCCTTAGGCCATAGAGTTCCTGGTGGCAGAGCTGGGATTCCAACCCGGGCACCAACCCAGGGTGCACTTGTAAACAAACACTGCTCTTCCACCTGGGGAACCTCCGCAGAAGTAGACCCCTGGCCTCCTGAGTCTAGTGTGCCCCTAACACTACCTACCAGAGTCCCCTTCTAGAAAACGAGGGCGCTGGATTCACCAGGTGATCTCTAAGGCTTCTGCCAGCCCTAGTCTTTTGTGGTCTTTTCCTGGCCCCCATCTGCTGTTGCAGCCTGCACCTTGCAAGCAGGACAGTCTGGTGGGTGGAGGGTGGTGGGTCTAGGCTCCAGCCAACGCTCTCATTCCGTGCCTGCATGACCTCAGGTAAGTCACCCGGCCTCCATCTGTAAATCGGGCAATAGTGATAGCACTTGCTGTGTACAGTTGTCGTGAGGATTAGATAAATCAAACCACAAAAGGCCCTTAGCGCAGTGCCTGGCACACAGTAAGGCTACTGTGTGTTTGTGATTATTGTCTCTGTGATGAAATGAAAGCCTCGACCTGATTCTTGGTCCTGTCTAAGGAGGAGGATCCCACCAGCCCCTGTTATTCCTGTGACTGGTCCTCCCAAACCTCAGGTGTCCTGAAATTACATCAATCCCCTGCTCCAGACTGGCCCATTTAGCTTCTTATGTCCTTTGAGGGAAGGGACAAGGGAAGAACACAGATTTTCTGGAAGGAGGAAGAAGCCTAAAATAAAACAACTAAAAAAGCTACTCACGGTTGGCTGTGGCTGGGCACGGGGGGCTTGAGGACTGCCGGTTGTCCTGTGTCTGCTCTGCAGGCCTGTCCCTGGGTCCCACGCGGAGTTCCTGCCAAGCCTCTGCCCCCACGCCAGCTTTCTCTCACTTTCTCACAGATGAGTGAGTGTGAGAGGTCTGGCCTTCCGTCCCTGTCACCACTTCCCCTCCAGGTCTCCGGTGCCATAGTGTTCTTGCCCCTGCAGTTGAGTTCTTTCTCATGAGGACCTCTGGGCAGGGGCGGGGCATGGGCCCAGGCTCTAGAGTCAAGGGACTTGGGTGCTAATCCAGCCTAGATGTCATGATGTTGAGCAATTCACTTGACCTTTCTAAAGCTTAGTTTCTTTACCTGTAAAATGGAGACAATGCACCAACCTTGCAATAAATACATCACCTAAAAGAATATTCCATTCCAATGTCTCTATCACTAGACCAGAGCTTTGACAAGCCATTGCCTACAGTTACCAGCACATAACATAAATGGGTGAGGGGTACTGGTGTGGGGCAATGCAGAGTGGTGGGGGCTGGGGGGAACAGGGGAACACAGGACCCAGATAAATTTAGGGGGCAGCCACCTCTCAGCTCCAGCCAAATGTTTCCACTTGGGAGTACAGCCCAGCTCACGGCCAGATGTTCCAAGCACTTGGAAGATGTGCCACATTTTCCAAGAGATATTAGAAATGCTGACTTATGCGACAGTTTCCAATTTTAGAAGCACAAAGAGCACAAAGTCAAATCTTTAAACAATGCTTTGTGAGTCAAACAGAAAACCCCATCTTCGGTTTATGTTTGTTAGGGAGAGTGTCCTCATGTCTGCTCCTGAGATCAGCAAAGGCTCAGGCATTGTACCTGCTGTGGCTCAGAGCGCTCACACCTGGCATCAGGTAAAATATTGAATGAGGGTCTACTATGTTCTAGGAATACAAAGATGAACGTGATGAAGTTCTTGCCCGTGTAGGCTCATGCCCTGTGATTACGTCATTAGATCTCCGAACTGCTCCCCACACCCCAGCCCCTGCTCTGGGCCGGTGGTTCTCCAGCAGGGCCACTTTGCCCTCAGGGTAGAGTTGCCAGATTCCACAAGTAAAAATACAAGGTGGCAATATTTGAGGCATAAATATACTAAGAATTATTTGTTGTTTATCTGAGATTAGAATTTAACTGGGCATCTTCTATTTTATCTGGCAACCCTGCTAGAGGGGGCACTTGGCAATGTCCAGAGACGTTTTTTTGGTTTTTTTTTTTTGGTTTTGCAACCTGGTTGGGGGATTCTACTGACCTCTAGCGGGTAGAGGCCAAGAACGCTGCTGCACGTCCCGCGATGCACAGGACACGCCCACCACAGGGACTCGTCCAGCGCAACGAGTGCCCGTGACCAGGGTTGAGAAACCCTGGTCTAGACTCAGCCCTGGGCCCTTCAGTGCGAGCCCAACGCTGGGCACGTCTTTAATTTGATAATTGGTCCCTTTGGGAGAGGGCACAGTGACAGCTTTCAGCTCTTGTGCCTCTCCCAAGAGCAAGAAATTGACGATAAGGAAGAGGACAGAGAGCCCTGGGGTGCCGAGAAAGAGGAGAGAGAAAACCAGAGGGAGCTGGGGCGCAGGGGCCCTGCAGCCACGTCGTCGGACCTCTGTCTGGCCAGAGCTGGCCCAGGGTGAGCTGGAAGAGATCTAGCAGATGCTTCCGGCCCTGAGGAAGCCACTCCTTGGTGAAGACGGATGAGGCTGTCCCCAAACGCCTGGCTCTCCACTGCAACCAAAGTGTGCAAGGGCAGGCTGAAGACATGAATGAATGAGCGAAGGAATGAATGAATGAAGAAGAAAAGGAAGATACTTAAAGGCCAAGGTGGAAGAAACACTGGGAAGCTGAGTTCTCTTGTCTCTGCCTCTGCCAGGCTACGTGACAAGTTAACTTCCTGTGTCTGGTCTCAATTTCTCCTTTCCTGAAATGAGGAAGTTGGAGATGATAGGGGCGCCTAAGACATCCACGTGAGGGCCTGTTAAAACACAGATTGCTCGCTATCTGAAGGAGGTAATAGTATCCAAGACCCTAAAATAAGACATAAAAAAAAAGCTAAAACATACAAGAATAAGGCGTGGCTTTGCTTCAGTGGGCGTTTTACTCTCAACCACGCACCTGGGAGGCCGGACTTGCAGGACTCGCCCGGGCCTGTCCCTCTGTTGCTCGCACAGGCCTGGCTGTACGATTCATCTGACGACGGTCCAACGAGGGGGGGCAGTTCTGCCAAGTCTGCCCACGCAAGCCCTTTCTCCTCCGTTCTCACAGATGAGTGAAGTGTCGAGACAGGTCTGGCCTCCCGTCCCTGTCACCACTTCCTTCCAGGTCTCGCGTGCCACGCCGTACGGTGTCTTGCGCCCTGCAGTTGAGTTCTTTCTCATGAGGAACCCATCTGGGCAGCGCGGGCTCTGCACCTTGCCCAGGCCCAGGCTCTAGAGTCAGGCCCGGTGCTAATCAGTAGATGTCATGATCGAATGGAGCAATCAGACTTCACAGCCAGCCACCTGTGACCTTCCTAAACAGCTTATGCACTCGAGAATTCTTTAGCAGCCTGACCCGTCTTGCACCGCGAGGAGCCCACTGCACTCTGACTGGATTAAGATAGGCTATGCAAGTGACAATCGCACCGCAACATCCATTGCTCAATACCAATGATTAGGCTGACGGTCAGCGACATCACTCGATATCACCAAGCAATACAGGTGTCAAGCGATCCAATATCACTCTACTCGTCGCGACCTAGACTCGCCATAGCTGCTTCCCTTCCTACCAAACATTCCTGCCTTCAACTGCTTGACTGAGCTCAAATGTGCTTCACAGAGCTTTCGAACAAGACGACTGCCATCTACAGTTAACGCTACATTCAATGCAACATGACATCTATCACACTAATAACAGGGGCATCGAACGAGAGGAGGAACAAACGATAAGATCGTACGCAGCAGAGGAAGCGAGCAGGAGTTGGTGACACAGGCGGGCTCGGGGCGCGACCACACGGGGCGAACAGCAGGACTCGCTTCCATCGTGGATAAGAGGAGTCACTTCAGTCGTGCGGCAGGAGCGCCCCCATCTCTATCCGAGTAGGCCTCGCAGAGCCCTAGGTGTCGCGGTCTTTAGAACGACACCTATGGGAGTACAGCCAGCTTCACGGGCGCAGAATGCTTCCAAGCACTTGGCGAAGATGTGCCCACATTCTTCCAAGAGATATTCAGAACATGCTGACCTTTATGCGACAGTTTCCCAATTTTCCAGCCAAGGCACAAACAGACAAAGCAAACTTTAAAGCACATGCCTTGCTGAGTCAAACCAGCAAAACCCATCCGTTCGGTTTACGGCTCATTGGTTACGGGAGAGCGTTGCCGTGCGATGTCTGCTCGTAAGGAAGCGAACTGCTGGCACGAGACCTCAACAGCTCAGGCCATCTGTCTGGCGCGCGTGCTCGCGACAGCCTCACGGCTCCAGTCGTGCACCGCAGCCAACAGGCGTGGCCCTGGCAGGAATCACATGGTAGCCCCAATCATCCACCACAATTCGACAGGACTCCCGCATTCGTAAGGAGAGGTCTGAAGCAGCAGCACCTACCCAACACATACAGCGTAATGTCCACCAAGAAAAACGTGATGAAGGTTCTTTGCGCCATGTGTAGTCGTCCTGCATTGGGGTCTGCAAGAGACGGTGAAAATCACCATCGAGACTAAGACCATGGCAAGTGTTTTGGAAAGAGAGAGTTCTACACAAGTCATGGATTCTAAATGGCCCCTCCTCACGAGACACCACCTGCAACGCGGACACAAGTCGAAGGAACTGAGTTAAAGCAGCTCCTATCCAGACTAGTAAACTCCCTACTCCAACGCTGCAGCGGGAAGAGACAAATCGTAAAACAACCCTCGACACCGCGCCTCATGTCCCTGCTGATTAACGCTCATTAGACACCTCCTCCGAACTGGCTCCCAACACCCCCCACACACTGCTGCTGGCCGGTGGTTTCCAGCCAGCGGCACCCCACCACCACCTACGAGTACAGGGCCCAGTAACAATACACCACAGTGGGCACTATAGACAAGACGAAGGAGCATTATCCAGACAACATTCTCATCCGCAACACAAAGGCCCCTTCGTGTTGAGGGCATGAGGGACAAGACGAACTACTACAGACACCATCTCAACACCCGCGCGCCTCCGACCCATTCTCTCCTCTACCTATCCTGGACCCGTCAGAGCCCGGGCACTCTGGAACCAGCCGTCCCACGCATCACGGTTTTCACAGCCTCGCCAGACCGTTTCCGTAAATTTGTGAATTGGTTTTGTCCCTTATCTTCTCTGTCTTTGGCAACCTGCGCTTGGGGCGCCCACGCGTGATTCCTAAAACTTTCGACCACTTCAATGCGACACGTCACAGAGCTTCAGTAGGCCGGTTACCACACGGCTATGACGAACAACCGCTCACTCAATCAGAACGCTGCGCGCTTCATGCGGATACCTCGCGACGACGTCTCACGATGCAACAGGTCATCACAAGCCAACACAGCTCACCCCACGCACAGGGACCTCGCTGCCAGCGCGCTACACTTGGAGACGCTCCACCCGGTGTGCCCGTGAGCCAGGGTTGAGAAACTGGTCTCCAGACTCCAGCCTCGGCTCGTCAGCCTGGCGAGACCACCGCTGGCGCCACCCATATGGCAGGCAGCTGCCGGATCCGAGCTTGGTTAATTTGCATGACACTGCCCGATTTAATCACCCCTTTGGGAAGATAAGGCGGCACGTAGGAGCTCAGCGCTAGTCAGCGTCTTGTGCCGAACGTCTCCACAATGCAGAGCAGAAATTGACGATAAGAGGAGAAGAGGCACAACGGAGAGCCCTCGGGGTGCCGGAGAAGCAGGAGAGAGAAACCAGAGGAGCCTGGGCGCGCAGGGCGCCCTGCAGCCACGTCGCTCGGGCTTTGGCCCAGAGCTGGCCCAGGGTGAGCTGGAAAGAGGATCTTAGCAAGACGCTTCCGGCGCCCTCGAGGCACGCCCTCCTTGGTGAAGACGATGAGGCTGTCCCCAAACGCCTGGTCTCTCTTACTTGTCAACCTATATCGTTGTATTGCATATGCAGTGTTCCTGAGGCCATGAAAATGAATGAGCG